AAGTTTGGAATTTGCTTGATTTCTATTTAATTTTCCTATATGATGAATAATGAGTATTACTAGTAGTAAACGCGATTTCAAGATTAAAACAGTTTATTTATTTATTTTTTATAATGAAATCGTGATTCATTCGCGTATACCCTTACATCACAATTGTTAATCTAAATTAAAATCATACATCATCATATTACCGTTAATTAAAAACTATTAACGTTAAAGTATCTTTATAAATCATAGTAAAGTTAATATAAACTTTATACATAAATTTATTAAAAAGTTCAGAAAATATAAGCGTGAATACTTTACATTTGACTGTCATTAAATACTTCTCATTTTTGAATATACGTATTTGGGTATATACATACTTGTTAAAACGTGGCAATTTTTTTTTTTTATTAAAATAATAATCATAATAATATACCTATTTTTTATTTTTTTTAAAAAAAATTTTGTTATGCACTCAAATTTAATGGTTAGAATATTGCTATGAATGAACTGTCGACGGTCAATACATATAAATCGTCTGAAAGTGAAAGTGACGAAGGGGATGATATATGTGAGGTGAGACAAAAAAGGGTAGACATAAAAGGAAAAGCAGTAGACCGACATGAATCTGTAGCCGACGGTATAGGGATCAATAATGGGAAGGAAAGTTCTGATAGCAGAGAAGACGAGGTCAATAATTTACAAATAGATTCCGTTATTACATTACTATCATTGAACCTCCCTTACGTACGAGTTGATGGTCGATTCTTGGTCGATTTTCGACGTTTGAAAATAGTACCAAAAGACAATTCTAGCTGGGAAACAAGTGATAATGGGTGTCAATTTGAAAAAACATCATCAGATGATTCAGAATCTTGGTATGATGAAGATGAAGAAGAAATGGACATTGAAGTGGAATATAATAATTGGGATCCATATTTGGAACGTGTTGTATACATCCTAAAAGATTATAAATGTGAAAGATTGTTTATTGTTTTACGATGGTATTTGCATTCTTTATAACCTCTAGTTATTTCATTTTAAGTTATTGTTATAAATATATGATTTTTTTTTTTTTTTTTAGGATCAACGGGCAGGAAACAGTCCACTGGGCCGATGACGCTTATTGCCGTTGTCCTCAAAAGGTAACTAATATGTTCTAACTCTTTAAAATATCGGTTACACTAACGCTAAATAAATTTTATCATCAAAAGGTTATCGAATTTTATGAATCCAGTACGATTTTTATTGATGAATGATAAATGCACAAGAATAACATCTGTTACCAGTTAAAGGAACTATTTACTCAAAATGCAATTTTGTAACTGCTGAATAATTATTAGCGCTAAATAATTATCAGTTGAATTATGCTATCAAATTGATATAATAATATCCTGATAGCATTGAAATGTTTTTTTTTCTTCCTTTTTTGGAGGTGGGATATCAATTTAATTGACGGTCAAAGTTTGTCATGCAGGTCAATTGATAATCAACCAATCAAAAAATCAATTTTATAGTTTTTTTAAAAAAATCTTTTAACTGAAGGTAGCATAATAAATGCGCCATTCTTCAATCTATGTATTATTCATAGATTAGAAAACAATACATGTCGTTTTGCAATTAAGCTTATGCCTGAATACTAAACATGTAAAACAATTTATGTTGAAATTTTCAGTTTGATATTTTCATTGTTACTTTTTCAAAAAATCTATGGATTATCTGGGGTGTTATCTATTAAAACAGCCCTTTTTTACAATTTTTTGAAAATTGAGTTTTTATTAGATTCATATAAATTTT